TGGATGGGTGGATGGATGGATGGATGGATGGATGGATGGATGGATGGATAACTGTTAGATTCTTGAAAAAAAAAATTTTTTTCTTCTATTCTCCAGTGGAACCAGACGTGTTTCTCTACCCCCCACCCACCCGCTTCCCTGCTGCGCTCTTTTGTCCTGTGAACCCTTAAAAAAGCCTTTTTTTTTTCCTGCATACCTCTTAATTGGAAAGATCAGCTGGTCTCTCAACAAAATCGATCAACTTCTCCCGGCAGGAGTCAGTGTAAGGACACTCTGAACTCTTTAAGGAACAAATTGGATTCATGATGACGACTAGAATCTACTGTTTGGTTGGTGGAATCTGGTTGTCTACAACTTAGTGTGGAGGTGTTGAAGCTTGACAGTGCTCGGACTGAATGTGAAGCTGTGACAGGGAGTTGGAGCAGCTGTTATCAGGACTGTGATCTTCCTGGCAGCACTCATGAATGGTGGAATAATCTTGGAGAAGCTGTGAGCTCGACTTTGGAGTAAAGGATCAATTCGGCTGTTTTGGAGTTTCCATCAGAGAATATGTACAGCGAGACTTTAAAGGCAGAAACAACAATTCACGAGTTCTGCCTGACCCAAACTGTGGCCTTGATGCCGGACTTATCTCAACTCCTCCTGGAATGTTCAGAAAACAACAAAGATGCTTTGACTGTTTCCTCACCCCTCCCTCCCCCAAGGCCGTGGACATGTGACAGAACCTCAACTGAGCTGAAGATGAACGTCACCTCTTATCTGGACAATGGCTGAGGGGGGGCTCTGGACTATGCTACGACTTTCCCTTAAAAATTCAACATCTTCTCCGCCTATATGTTCATGTATAACGTCTGTTCATGTTGCTTTGCTGTGGAGGTTTGTTTGATGCCTCAAATCGTGCCCTGTCTAGGACACGGTGTGAGAGATCTTTTTTTATACCATCTCTCCTCATGTTTTCTTTCCTTTTCTCATCTAAGCAAAATATTATTCTGAATAAGAATAAGAGGCCGCGCTGATTATTTATAGCCGCAGCTTTGTGCACTCCGCCCATCTTTCGGATGACTGTACGTACATGTTCTCGTTGTATCTCGGTGCAATGCCAATAAAGTTTATTCTGATTCTGATCTCCTCTACAACACTGATTGACAGCTGCTGCTGATTATGATGTCTGTGATGCTGGTGAGACATTTCATCTGTGATCAGAGTTTAAACAGTCTGCCTTCACCAACATGTTCAGCGCACAGAACATCTGGGAGTTTTAATGACTCCTGACTCCATTCCTACTCGAACAGTTGGAGAGAAGGCTGGTGAGGCAGCCGAAGGAAAACTAAAACTGCAACATGAGTTGTTTAAAAGTCTAACTTCACAAAAACACAGTGAAGAACAAACCAGTGCTCAGCTAAACCCAAATGTACTATTTTAAAATAAAGCCAAGTAAAGCTGATTATTAACATTCAGCTAGAAATCAACAGACTCGTCCACACACCTCGTTTCTGCATCAGGTCCACACACGTCTGCGACTGCAATGAAGAGCAGGAGGACGAGGAAGAGGCAGTGTTGGGCGACAGGCAGAACTCCTCGGGCGGTTTCTCTGTTAGGGAGAAGTAATCCAGCAGGAAGTCAGTGGAGCTCTGCTGCAGCTTAGAGGAACGACTGTCTGAAAAACACAGAAACGTGAAAAGTGTAAAAAAATAAAATAAAATAAAAAGTCGCCCACAAAAAATTGTGACAACAAAATATATAAACTAGAGAAAGTGCATTTCCTGTGAAAATGCAGTGAGAAGGCTTATTGGACTGTACTTGTATAGCGCCTTTCTATCTTTTTTCAAGATATTCCAAGTGTTTTACAGTACAATCTGTGTCCTCATTTACCCATTCATACAGCACTCTACTAGATCTCTACAAAGCTAATATTGCTATTATTGCAAAAGAACTTGCCGAGAAACAGGTGAAATTATCTAAAAACATGTTGAAATGGAAGAACAAGCCTAAATTAGGAGAAGAAAGCAGAAAGAACACATATTTGCTGAAATTGGTTGAAATAGTGATGGACAATCTATGACGTCTAATTCAAATGTTCACAATGTGACGCTTGATGTGGACCAGACTTCATGATCTTGTCTGTAGTTACAGAAAACAAAGAGAAGTTTGTTTGTGGCCCACCCTGGGCTGCCACCTTACCGTGGTGGAGGGGTTTGAGTGTCCCAATGATTCTAGAAGCTATGCTGTCAGAGGCTTCACGCCTCTAGTAGGGTCACCCAAGGCTGACAGGTCCTAGGTGAGGGACAAGACAAAGTGCAGCCCAAAGACCCCTATGATGAGTACAATCCATGGAAACAATGTTCCCTCGCACAGATGTGGGTCACCGGGGCCCCACTCTGGAGCCGGGCCTGGAGGTGGGGCACGCTGGTAAGTGCCTGGTGGCCTAGCTTTTACCCATGGAGCCCGGCCGGGCACAGCCCGAAGAGGAGACATGGGTCCCCCTTACCATGGGCTCACCTTCTGTGGGATGAGCCAAAGGGGTCAGGTGCAATGTGGGATGGGTGGTGGCCGAGGGCGGGGACCCTGGCGGTTTGATCCTCGGCTACAGAAGCTGGCTATTGGGACGTGGAATGTCACCTCTCCGGTGAGGAAGGAGCCTGAGCTGGTGTGTGAGGTTGAAAGATTCTGGCTAGAAATAGTCGGACTCGCCTCGATGCATGGCTCTGGAACCAGTTTCCTTGAGAGGGGTTGGACACTCTTCCACTCTGGAGTTGCCCCTGGTGAGAGGCGCTGGTGAGTGGGCATACTTGTTGCTCCCCATCTTGGTGCCTATACGTTGGGGTTCACCCCGGTGGACGAGAGGGTAGCCTCCCTCCATCTACTACGTGTGGGGGGACGGGTTCTGACTGTTGTTTATGCTTATGCGCCAAACAGCAGCTCAGATTACCCACCCTTTTTGGAGTCCTTGGAGGGGGTACTGGAGAGTGCGCCTCCTGTGGACTCCCTTGATCTACTGGGGTACTTCAACGCTCATGTGGGCAATGACAATGAGACCTGGAGGGGTGTGGTTGGGAGGTATGCCCCCCCCCCCCCCCGATCTGAGCCAGAGTGGTGTTCTGTTATTGGACTTCTGGTCCAGACCAGACCTTGAGAAACTAGTCCATGCCTTTGTCACGACCCGATTGGACTGTTGCAATGCAGTCTATGCTGGGATCAGCCAGGCCTCCATTTCACGTCTTCAGCTCGTCCAGAATGCTGCTGCTCGGCTTTTAACCGGAACTCGTAGGTCTGAACATATTACTCTAGTTCTGTCCTCCCTTCACTGGCTCCCTGTTCGTACGAGGACAGTCTTTAAAATTCTTCTGTTGACCTTCAAATGCTTAAATGGCCTCGCACCCCTTCACCTCTCTGAGCTTCTGGAACCTTACGTTCCCTCTCGGGCCCTGAGATCATCTGATCAGCTGCTTTTGGCTGTTCCAAAAACAAGACTGAAGCTCAGAGGAGATCGGACTTTTTCAGTCATGGGCCCCAAACTCTGGAACAACCTGCCCCAACATCAGACAGGCCACCTCCATTTCTCACTTCAAATCTCTGCTAAAAACACATCTGTTCTCTCAGGCATTTCACACAGTGTAAACTGATCTAGTATTTTTTTTGTTCTGTGACCCTATGTTTTAAATGCATTTTATTAATTCTTCAGTTATTATTATTAGTGTATTGTATTTTTTTCTCTTTAATTTTACTCTCATTGATTGTTGTTTTTGTTAAGCACTTTGATAACAAGTTCTGTTTTAAATGTGCTCTATAAATAAAGTTGACTTGACTTCTTTGCTCGTCATGGATTGTCCATCATGCATGTTCTCTCCGTGCATGCGTGGGTTTTCTCCGGGTGCTCCGGTTTCCTCCCACAGACCAAAAACATGCATGTTAGGCTGATTGGTAACTCTAAATTGTCCCTAGGTGTGAGTGAGAGAGTGAATGGTTGTTTGTCTTGTTTGTCTCTATGTGGCCCTGTGATGGACTTGCGACCCGTCCAGGGTGTACCCCGCCCCTCGCACAGTGATTGCTGGACATGGGCGCCAGCGACCCCCATGACCCAAAATGGAACAAACGGGTAAAGATAATGGATGGATGGATTGTCCATCATGAACACCATGTTCAAGCATTAGGGTGTCCATATGTGCTCTTGGCATCAGAACACCCTAGGCCGCGTTCGATGATGGACTTTGTTGTCATCTAATATGATCTGCGGCCACATATCTTGGACAATCAGGTGAAGAGAGGAGCTGAGCTGTCCACTGATCACTACCTGGTGGTGAGTTGGCTCAGTTGGTGGGGGAGGATGCCGGTCAGACCTGGCAGACCCAAACGTATTGTGAGGGTCTGCTGGAAACGTCTGGCAGAGTCTCCTGTGAAACCGAGCTTTAACTCCCACCTCCAGGAGAGCTTCGAACACCTTCCGGGGGAGGCAGGAGACATTGAGTCTGAGTGGGCCATGTTCCACGCCTCTATTGTCGATGCGGCTTATCGGAGCTGTGGCCGCAAGGTTGTCGGTGCCTGTCGCGGCGGTAACCCTCGAACCCAGTGGTGGACACCGATAGTGAGGGATGCTGTCAGGCTGAAGAAGGAGTCCTATCGGGCTTTTTTGGCCTGTGGGACCCCGAAAGCAGCTGATGGGTACCGGCAGTCCAAGCGGCATGCAGCTCAGGTTGTCACTGAGGCAAAAACTCGGGCGTGGGAGGAGTTCGGAGAGGCCACGGAGAATGACTTCCACACGGCTTCGAGGCGATTCTGGTCCACCATCAGGCGTCTCAGGGGAGAAAGCGGTATGCCACCAACACTATTTATAGTGGAGGTGGTGTGCTGCTGACCTCAATTCGGGATGTCGTGGGTTGGTGGGCAGAATACTTTGAAGACCTCCTCAATCCCACTGGCACGTCTTGCACTGAGGAAGAAGAGCCTGGGGACCTTGGGTCGGGCTCGCCAATCTCTGGTGCTGAGGTCACCAAGGTGGTTAAAAAGCTCCTCAGTGGCAGGGCCCCATGGGTGGATGAGATTTGCCCAGAGTTCCTTAAGGCTCTGGATGTTGTGGGGTTGTGTTGGCTTACACAACTCGGCAATATTTCATGGACATCGGGGGCAGTTCCCCTGGATTGGCAGACTGGGGGGACAAAAAGGGGGACTGTAGAGTGTGTTACAACTACAGAGGGATTACACTCTGAAGCCTCCCTGGTAAGGTCTATTCGGGGGTTCTGGAGAGGAGGGTCCGTCGGATAGTCAAACCTCGGATTCAGGAGGAGCAGTGCGGTTTTCGTCCTGGTCGTGGAACACTGGACCAGCTCTACACCCTCAGCAGAGTCCTGGAGTGTGTGTGGGAGTTTGCCCAACCAGTCTGCATGCGCTTTGTGGACTTGGAAAAGGTGTTCAACTGTGTCCCTCAGGGAGCCCTGTGGGGGGTACTCCAAGAGTATGGGGTAACAGGCCCTTTGATATGGGCTGTTAGGTCCCTGTACGAACGGTGTCAGAGCTTGGTCCACATTGCCGGCAGTAAATCGGGCTCGTTCCCAGTGAGAGTTGGGCTCTGCGAAAGTTGCCCTTTGTCACCGATTCTGTTCATAACTTTTATGGACAGAATTTCTAGGCGCAGCCAAGGTGTTGAGGGGATCCGTTTTGGTGGCCTTAGGATCACTTCTCTGTTTTTTGCAGATGATGTGGTCCTATTGGCTTCATCAGGTTGTGATCAACAGCTTTCGCTGGAGTGGTTTGCAGCCAAGTGCGACGTGACCTGGATGAGGATCAGTTCCTCCAAATACAAGGCCATGGTCTTGAGCCGGAAAAGGGTAGAGTGCCCTCTCCGGGTCGGGGAGGAGGTCCTGCCCCAAGTGGAGGAGTTTAAGTATCTTGGGGTCTTGTTCACAGATGAGGGAAAAATGGAGAGTGAGCTTGATAGGCAGATAGGTGCAGTGTCGGCAGTGAAGCGGGCGCTGTACCGATCTGTCGTGGTGAAGAGAGAGTTGAGTCAAAAGACGAAGTTCTCAATTTACCAATCGATCTATGTTCCTACCCTCATCTATGGTCATAAGCTTTGGGTTGTGACCGAAAGAACGAGATCACGAATACAGGCGGCCAAAATGAGTTTTCTCTGTAGGGTGTCTGGGCTCTTCCTTAGAGATAGGGTGAGAAGCTCGGTCATCTGGGAGGGACTCAAGGGTAGAGCCGTTGCTTCTTCACATCGAGAGGAGCCAGTTGAGGTGGCTCGGGCATTTGGTTAGAAATGCCTCCTGGACGCCTCCCTGGTGAGGCGTTCTGGGCACGTCCCACCGGGAGGAGACCCAGAGGAAGACCCAGGATACCCTGGAGGGACTATGTTTCTCGGCTGATCTGTTTAAATGTTTATGTGTTCATGCGTGCACATCTGCTCACAGACTCATGTTCATGTTTGTGCTGATGTTCAATGTTTTTATGTTATGAGTGCTTAGTGTATATTTAGTTGATGTTTTTCTTAGTTCATATCTTAGATGTTATTACTGTTTTTCTTTTACATTTTATTGTTGGATGTAACTGGGACCCCGTGTACATAATTTCGCTCCACCACATGTACCACATGAGGTGCGAATGACAATAAAGAATCTCTGACTCTGACTCTCTGACTCTGACTCTCTGACTCTGAACACC